GATTATATTGGTTAGTGCAAGGAGGAAGTCTGAGGTTGTCACATTCCTCCAATATATTCTAGCATACAGAGATTCATATATAGAATGCCCTCAAGGATACGCATTGAATATTAAAAGTATTAATACTGCTTTGTCCAATTATAAAATGTTTATTAATTGTATCAGTAGTAGAAAATGTTATGTATAAGAAGACCCTACCCTAGCTAAGAAATACAATTGATCAATGTTACTACTCGAAGGTATGATAGCATACCCACGTACACTGTGCTTGCCAAATTTAGCATATATACAACCAGTTGCCCGTGCCATGTTGGACTAATTGTCCTATGGCATGATTAGGCACTGGAGGAATAAAAAGGGCATACAAAGACTCACCCGATGATAGAAGGGCCTACAGTCAGTGCTGGTGGAACTTCACAGTAGGATGTCCGTTTTAGTGTTTGACTAAAAACAAAAAGACAAGACAAATTTATTATACTCAATATTATTATTATTGATAAATGTTACATGCTAATTATTTAGTTTATAATATTTATGTATTATGTTGTAGCATAATACATAACTATGCTGTAAGCATGTTTGTTTTTTTATTTAATCCACATCCTGCTTTTGTACATATTCAAAAAATCCTTAAAAGTACCAAAATTGCATTAGTTACGCATACTTTGATACAAAGCATGATAAACTATATTAGCTTGTATTAATCAAATTTATATCCGAAACTGTGTATAAATGCAAATACAATAATCTCATACGGAAAGACACGAGAAATTGTTTATTTTAATACGATTTCACGACCGAGATATAGGAAGTCACAAACATTTCCAATTTGAATGTCTCGAAGTATTGTCGTTTAAACTTTTTAACATTCAAGGAAGCCATTTTGAATGCTTCAACTAAATATATGAATTGAAAAAAGTGCTCGAAAAAATTCTCATTTGATCTTAACACAAACCACGAAATCACGATTATTTCACTTACGGTTAAAAACAATATAAAAATAAGTAATGAAATGTCACTTTGTTGTTATAATAAATGTTATAATAAATGTTACAATAACTTACCAGAATTCACCAATTTCCCGCCGAATTCCGTTTGAAAGGACTCAAGGTACTCAGGACGGTAGTGCGTACTTCCAAGCCGAAACTCTGAAACAGAAAATAAACATGCATTTTAAGTATTACACAACGTTAAGAATCGTTACAAATGAACAATTATTCAACTCGTGGTGTGTCGCAAAGATTTTAAATTGAGTCAGAAATACGTAAACATTATATTATTTGGTACACAGTGAAACCAAAAAGTAATCGAATTAATTTGGGATTATTTAGTCTATATTGAATAAATATTGAAGGACAGTAACGATAGAGAGCTAATGAAGGTACTAGTAATCAATATATATGAATAAAGATGAAAAGTAAATGTCAATCACTCACTTTAGCACGAGCAAACGGCTCCTACGTCTTACTGCGTCACTTCTCCGAGACGAATGACACACTTCGGTTACACTCGGCCGGTCTCGAGCAGTTCATTCGGCTATCTTCGGGTGATTGCGAGTAGCTGATTGGTCAGACAGAGCGGTAGCTTCCCGCCTAATCGCTTGGCGGGAAAAACCATGTGCACGACTCGAGTTTAAAAGCCGAATGTAACACTTAACAAACTCCTTGAAGAATCTATATAAAAATATAAAAATTTCTACGAATTTCTCGCACAAAACTATACTAAGGTGTATTTAAATTAAATAATTTTTAGTTAACAACCACCACGAACATTAACACATAGTCATTGTCTAATAATTTGCAATGAAGTAAAATTTATTCCATATAGAAGTTCATAAAACGATTTATTTCTTACAAATTTCTGAATACCTCGATTTTTATATGTACTCTACGAATTAGAGCTCGCTTAATGCAGTATACCGGGAAATTTAGCCCTCTAAATGCAAATCTATTCTTATATCTTATCTGTGTCAGAATTCATGCTTTATCGGTAATGTCGGGTATTGACACTAAAATGGTAAAGGGGCTACGTAGCCCTACATACACATGTAAATACGTATTTGAGTAAAGGAAAAAAAAAATTATTTACCTGAACAGGAAATGAAAGCGTATGGCATATTAAATTAAGTAAAATGTTATATATTATGTACAATCAAATATAATGATTGAAATAATATCGATGTAACAAGCAATAAGATTCAAGTTAACGTGTTTCAACGGAAAAGTAGATACCAAAAAGATATTATCCGCAACAGTATTGCTTTTTTTCTGGTATTAGAATCATATACGAGTTCAGCGACTGAATTCCATAAAGGTATCGTGAATCGCATATTTCAATTACAGCGAATTGCGCGCGCACGCTTCATGGCGACGGTGTCGTGCCGTAGTCAGTCGGTCGGAGCACTGTCATCCGTATTTTTCAAGAAACGTTCATCATCGTTCGCTCCTCTCCGTTTTACCATTTCATTCTGCAATCGACTGACGAGTCGAAATTATTCTCCATAAATTAGTTCAACAAAATCGTCAAGACGCAGCTCAAAATGTCACTGGTAAGCTTTGACCGTCTTACGCTCCCGTTTTTCTCCCCTTCTTCCACTGTCAATCTCTTGATTAAACAGTCTCGTTTCTTGATTGTTTCGAACGTCACGTGTCCAATTTTAATTATACGATCTTGAACGCTGTCATTACTTGATCATCGATAGAATCTCGATTTGACGCGAAACATTTTAGACACTAATTTGGGTGCGGTTTTGTGGTTAGATTCTCTAATGTTCAACTTCTGCGGTAGGATAAAGTAATTGTTGTCGCGAGGAAAGATAGTAATAGAATAAACGATTAGAAATTGGAGGCTTTTATGATCTGATTACATACAGTCATTACTATTCAGAATTTTGGGTTATACTGTGGCTATTTGGAAAAGTAATCCCAACGCTTCGCCAGTATTGTTGCTAGAGTCATGAAAAGTCAAATGAAATTACTAATACTGGTGGGTGCAATTTACTCATTTACTATGAACACTGTGCGTATTAGAGGTTGTTTAATAAGCAGTCTAGAAGTAATTCTTAATAGGGAAATATGTATTAATTCTTTCATACTCAGTGGTAAAGTGTAATAGTAAACCAAAGAGCAAACGAAATAATGTTGCCATATAGGTTGGAAAACTGTTATGTTATTTATTTTTTTTATTTTCAGGGCAATCACGTTGCCCTTACACCCTTGGAGGATATGTCAGCTGACCGGGGACAAGGGGGTGGAGGGCCACCCCCACATTGTCAGAAAGTTTATATACAACGTGACTATAGCGAAGGTACCATGGTAAAATTCCATACACAGTTCCCCATGGAACTAGAGAGTAGGGTATGTAATCAAAACAATTCACTTACCATTATGCACATGAAATTGAACAATTGAAAATCAATAACCTTTCCTTTTGTCATCAAATTTTGGCATACTTGCACGAACATTCATAATCTAGTCTTATCACACAGAACAGTTTTGGCCTCCAGTGTAGTTTCATAGCAATTTCTGACAAGGTTAAAGATATATATATATGTTGTTACAAATGCAATATAGTACAGCGTGCAAAGAATCTTGAAACTTAGAAATGAAACATTCATAGCGTCATTAATTCCTGCCCTAACTAAATTAGAAAATACACGAAAGTACATGTGACAGTGTCTAGCAAGTACGGATATGACCGTAGATTCATTTGATCTATCAGATAAATAGAATGATTTTCTAAAGTCTAGCCACTTATATTTTGAAACAGTTTGTATGTTTCACTGAAATTTCATACACAACACACTAAATAATAAGAGAAGTTCCCCTAGTGCCAGACACTTATCAATAACACTGAGCGGTAGGGTGTCTCGTATTGTTTACACGATTAAATGAATCATAACATATGTCTGGAGCTGAGGAAGTTTCGTCTGTTTTTGTTATCAATTTATATTCATACGCATCGTTATAGCATCACTTTGGAATAGAAGAAACAGCAACACATGTTACGTTCACTTCCCCGCCTAATTTTCCCTCTCACGAACTAGTATTAACTGTGCATTGCACCACGTAGAACAACTTCACGCTGTATTATTTCCCACTTCAGTTGGACAGACAGTCGTTCGAGTACACAGTCACTCAGTTGAACAACTACTTTGCCGAAGCAGAAAGAGCCACATGTTCGACGTACTGCGAGAGCTGCCTGGCTTGTCTCACCGGTTACCTAATTTATATATGCACAGAGACTCAGTACGAAAAGTGTTTGCGTAAGGTGGCAAAGTTCGTCAGTGAACAAAACGACAGAGTATACAAGCCCCGCGGGCTCCTGCTAACGGACCCCACCTTACGTGGGCTTAGGTTAATAGAAATTTCAGTACTGGACCGACCTGCGTCGTGACTGCACATTAGCCGATCCAGGGAGTTCTTTATGTGATCCGCCGCGCATTTCTGCCGCTCCGCCAGGATTACAGTGCCCCGCATGAGCCGATGATGAGTGTTTCTGGACGTGATCACTTTCAGTACCAATTTTCTTTGATTTAGTTGTGCAACGTGTGTTCCGTCAAACGATCCGTGAATATAACGTAACAACGTTTCTATTTTTCATCGAGAACCATATACTTGTGAACCTACATGCAAACTCGTTTCCGTTATTTCTCGAATTGACGCTTGCCCTCTTCAGCGGTGAATGGGATAAAATATGCCGGAGCAGATTTTTTAGTACGTATGACCTCAGTTTGTTCGAGATTGGGATCTCGTAAGGACGTACACACAGAATCTGTGTCCCGTAGGACAACGACCGAGTTTAATTGCATGTATGGTGTTTCGTTGAAACGAATGCGCCAGTAGAACCTCGATTATTGTTACGGGACCCGGGACCGTAATGGAGCACGCGGGAGGAACCACGTGAGTGTTACACAACGGATGAAAAATTATTGGCACACACGGGCCTCTTATTAGTAAATAATAGTATCGAACAAACAAAAAATATATAATAATAAAGAGCACATACTTTGAAAGCTTACTACTGTCGAGGGTAGAGTAAGGTATTAGAGGTTATAATGTAATCTAAGGATCTGTAAAATTATTTAAAAACACAAAAGAATGAGTGTTTGCCAATACTTTTCTTATTTATTGTATAAACGTACCATAGACCGGATCATTTAACATATGAATCATCGAAATATTGTCCTGACGGTATAATCGAGGTTCTGTGGCATCGTATGAGTTCAGTGTTTGTACTTGCATCAGACCGGTGTGAACCAAAACGATTCCGCGAAGAAACAGAACGTGTACGTGTGTGTATGTGTGAACGCATGAAGCGTCGACCACGCGGAGCTAGTTTACCGAAAATTTTCCAATTTTTGGAAAGTTCAAAATGTATTATTCTGCGATACAGCAACCATGGGAAACTGCTGTATAGAACCGAGTGAAATCCCACCCGAGCAAGCTAGCTCCCCGTAATTAACGCATATAAGTGGACAAATGATATCGTCCACAGACGTACGCATTGGTCTCATTTGCGCATCTAAACAAGGATCAAGCAGTTTCATTTCGAATAATCGTTCGTTTCAAAGACTTGATCGTCATCCGCATTTAACAGCCGACATTACGAGCCAAGCCTGAGACGGCCCAGGTTTGTGTTCCCTGGAGAACAACAGATCTTCGCGGCCTCTCCGATATGACTCTCAGCCCCCTCCAATACGAAAAAGAACCGTTCTCCGGCGTGTCGCGAGTTCAATGTGCATTCGAAACAGCCGGGCGAAACTCGAGTTCTCTTTTTCCCCTTCCGCCGATCTCTCTTCCATGAATGCCTCTTATTCGAAACGCCATTTTTGTTCTTTTTTTCAACCACGAGCTGAGGAGTCCGTTCGTCGCCGCCAAGTGGCGCCTCTACCCGGAAAACAAGGAGAATTTAATCGAAATTACCGGCACAAAGGTATTCAAATTTGCGCTAAGGAATCCATGGATTGGCTATGAAAAATGAAAAAATTGTACAAACGTGTACGGAGGGTAAAGGAGAAGAGGTGGTTACGTTAATAGATTCGATTATATTAAAAGGATTGTTCGTGTGTGAGCATTGTGATCAAGGATAAACCTCCCACCCCACGCGGTTAGTGTGCTGCTGTGTGCGTGAGATGATCCTTTCTATTTTTGTGCTTTTATTTTATACTTTTTGTACGAAACCGTCTTAGGTGCGTTACGCGAGCGGCTCCATCTTCGAATTTTTAAGGTGGGTATCCACTTGATACGTATCCTCGTATCGTATCACCGTCGTGTATCGATGTCGACGGGCAAGCGTTACAACGTTGCGTATGAAAATATGACACGAGGATACGCAACAAATGGATATGCACCTTTCACGAATCCGTTTCTCATTCGAACCCGTTCCCTACGGGAATGGGGGATGATCTCAGCTATTGATTTCATTATATACAGGGTGTATGTACGGAAGGGTTAACAAATGGCCCCCTTGAGGGAGGTGGAACGAGGTAATTTTAATGTCCCTTCGACGTAACGTCGAAAACAACGTATGTAAAGCTTTGTTATTAACTTTTATCGATCGATTTGTTCGATCAACCTGAAAATAAGATGGTAACTTTGTTAAACGTTATTGGAGTCTCTATTTCGAAGCGTTTTCGACGGTATCTTGCCGATACGTTTTCGCGTCCTTTCATCACCCTTTAAGAAGACCATTTCTTTGCGGTACTCCCTGTGTATATACCATTACGCCTGTTTTGAGCGTCGAGCGCCAGGTATACGCTTACCTACCCCACGTACAGTGTCACAAAGTGGGAGCAAGATTAATTTTATACTGCTAAGCGTTTGGTCTCTGTCCTTGGTCACAATGCTGGAGCCTACTCGACGTGATTATGCGACGCGGGGGGCAAGGAAGCCGACAGTTTTCACGTTTCCATGGCTTGCATTCTTGGTTTGGTTGGTATCGATACACCAAAATCGTGTTGTTTAGAGCGTAAGGTTGTAAATTTCCTGAAAAGTGAATGACGATTACTTTCGCCAGGATGATCGTGTGATTCCGTAATATCACTGTGTTCATTATCATTTTGAGTGCGAATATTTACAGAAATTCATTGCTTTGGACGTTAATTGGTAAAGACGAAAATTTATCGTCTATTCCGGATGTTTTATGTTCATGACAACGTATGATTATTATTTAATTATTCAAGGTCGAAGTGAATATCGAAAGGATCCTACGCTCGGACACGCCTCGGTGACGTTCGAATAGATCAATGGATCTTGGCCAGACAGCCGCGCCACTGCCCCGTGATTTTAATTGTTCTCCTCCGTTGACCAGTGAGCAAAAACTTAAATGCACGAAGAGAGAAGAAATATATCGTTTACCCGCGTCGCAATGTCGTGCTCCAGGCTCGTCGCGACGTGTATTGCAACTGGGTACGTTGCATAATGTGTAAATAGCGAGTTAATTTTTTGCCGACAACAACGGAATAACGAGGGAAAGAAGAGAAAGCCGTTTGTTACACTTAATTTAATTGTAGGACCAAAAAACGTTTGATGATTCGTTAGTGTAAAAGGACACACCATCGTTCGAGTGTAATTTCTAAATGTTTTTAATAATAAAAATCTTGCGTAAAAGCCACCGAGGGAGATAGAGGAAGGAAGGAGCAGCTGCGTAGAGCGTTAAATAAAAGGGAGTAGGAGGAGGATTATGTAGCGGGAGAGAAGATGTTTTGAGCACATTCAGATCTTTATTTTAGTCGTGTGTGTGCAGTAAATCGTCCGACAGGCATGTTCGTTCGCAGCTATATCAAAAGAACTTCAGAAACCAGTCTCACTCGTGTCTCGCTGAATTCGCGTATCCGCTTGAAAACGGTCAGCACGGTCAACATCGCAAAGATAATAATATCTGTAGCGTGGTTCGATTCAATCCTTTTTTCCGCTTCGCACGTTGCCTCCTCCTCGCGGATACAGCACCGAACAAACATATTTTAATTGTAGTTCAATGTTATCGATGTTTCACGATGACTCAACTCTGCTGGCGACTTAGATATTATCAGTGATTTGATAGGCGACCAAGCCTCAAATCTCTGTCATTTCAGTCAGATTTACTCGTTTAGTCTACGAGAAAATGAGTAATAATTATCTTTCATCTATATTTCCACTTGGTACCAACAAGATCCCGGTTATTTACTTAAACCACCCTCGAAGAAGATTACAGGTGGTCTAATCATAAACGTTAAATTAACTTTTGGTCTACGTGAAACCTCGATAATATGGAAGAAACTGGGAAAATCTAGGGTCCATTTCTCCGGTACTGTATCTGCCTCGCGAACGTCACTACCGTTGATAATCCCCGTCAATTCTCGCAACCGTTGTTCCATCCCGTTGACCTCAGTCCTGGAACTTGTTAGTCGACAAATAGAACAGAGTAATAAAGAAATACATAAACGACGCGATTCGATCACGGTGAAGCTCCAAGTGCATCATTAACGTGCGCGTATTGGTAGTATAAAACTGGAATGCGAGATCACATTTCCGGTTTTCCGCGCGTCACAGACCTGTTTCGGTGTGGTTTGCTCTCGCGTGACGTAACCAGGATCATTAATTCAATCGATTCGCGTCTCTCGGTGTCCATCCAAGGCGACTGATCGGTGAGATACATAGTACTCCTCCCACATTGGGGGGTATTACTGTGTAAATATTTTTAAGCGATTTTTTGCGAATTTTTTGTTACAAAGACAGTAAATTTTAATATATCTGGCGTTTTGCCGGTGTATTTAGGTATGTTCGAAAAAGTTCTGGTATTTTATTGATAGAATGCAAAGTTACAGCTGGTAAGGTAACAGACTGCAGTCTCTTCCAGTCGTCTGAAATCAGAAAATCAAAGCTTATTATATTTTTTATGAGTGTCGTCATCCGTGGAACAAGAAGTATTTATTTACGTTAAGATTAAGATATTGTCTCAAGCTAATAACAAGTAAAAAAATTGGCAAAAAATGGTATTTTTAACATTGAAGTGCCTCCATATTGTCAAAAATATTTCTCCTGTAATAATTCGAGTTCCACGGCTAGCGACACTCATGACTAAGTTTTGATTTTTTATTTCAGACGACTATTACCTTGCCAGGTGTAACTTTGTATTCTTTCAAGAAAATTTCAGAACTTCTTCGAACATACCTAAATACACTGATGGATTAAAGTTTACTGTCTTTGTAAAAAAAATCGCCTAAAAACCTAACGTTTACCCAGTACTGCCTCCAAATTAAGATTGGGCCGCTCGTTTAAGAACGCGAGACGTTACAGAGCGGCCATTTTGCGATCACCATCATTGACCGCCAACTCGCTTCCGTTCCACCGATGGAAATAAAAAAGAATAGTGAAGTACAGACACTCATGGGACTGGAGGTCTCGAGCTCTGTACTGGTCAAGGTTATTTCTGCAGCGAATTACGAAGAATCCAGCCTTGATCTCTTCATCCTTCGTCGTATTCGAATACAACCATAAGGTAAGAGAACACTTTTCCACTCTAACTTCACCAATCGCTGATTGGCCATTATTTACACGAATTTAATACGCCGATTTCACGAGGATCATTTTCATGGCGACGATTCGGGGTGGAGAATCGACCGTTCCCGATTTTATTCGTCGTATCGAATTGCAGGGTGTCTTACGAGGAGGAATAATATAACCGTCGAATGAAAACGTAACTTGTCATCCAGTTTCGCGTCCTTATCTCTCTCTGTGTGTGTGTATTATTATAAAAACGCCCCTTTCCCGAAATCAGCCCACACGGGGTTCGCCAGCTTCTATTCCCACCCCCCTCGTTCTTCGAGCTATCCTAAGATATCGAGATATAATACAAAAAGATTGTCAAAATTGAATTCATATCGCTCGTGCGCCACCACTCTCTATATCTGTTCAACGTCCTAGCATATACTGTCGTTCTATGAGCAACGTCGGTGCAGGTGTTTCTTTTTTTTTTTCTTTTTTACCACCTACACCTAGATTCCTAGCCATCGACTAAACTCTATGAAAGTATTCCCTACTGTTCCTTCCTTAAACAATGAGCAACACCTTTTCCAGGCTCGTGTTTGATATCCTGTACGCTCGTTCGTTCACAACCCGGGCGGGTAGTAACTATCGTCGATTCCTCCGAATTCACGATCTCCGTCGACCAGGGCCTGGCCACGTCTAGGGACTGATGTCCCTTCAATTTCCCCATGTAAAATGACTCGCGACACCACCACAGGCAGGAGGATCAGTCATATCCTCTTCTCCGTTCGTCCACCCTACTGGGTTCGGAAGAATTGACATTGAATTTTTTTGACGTGCAAATTGATTCGCCTCGATCTCATTCAAAGACTCTCAAGTGTGGTCGACGTGAGACGTCAAATGAGCAAGCACAGTTTGTTCCGGCTCTTTCGTTCGGGATTCAACGCTTTCGATTTCGCCGCGTCCTCAGGCGTGCTTCTCGCGTATAGGGATCTACTGATCCTCTGTCTAACACCTTTGCTCAGTGTACGACCACCCTTCCTCAATGAAGCGAACCGTCCCAGCGTGGACTTCTCAGAGACCTCTTTCCTGTCCGCGGGAGCGCAATTCAGGGTTGTCACGGTGAACTCGATGTCCTTGGGTTCGTAGGAAACGAACTCCTCCACCGGTTCGTCGATCGTGTCGCGATCTATCCACGTCAGCCCCATCTCGACCTTCTCGGCCAGGTCCTGCCAGTGTCTTCTGTTCTCCATGGTGCCCTCGTATAGGGGCATGATCCAGGGAAAGGTTTCCGACATCACCTTGTACAGGGGCATACAGATCACGTCGATGAAACCCACTTGCATCTGGGGCAGCTCGTCCTTCCTTTCGCGATCCATCATTGCCACCGGTTGCTGGTTCAATTGTAAACGTTCGAGGTCCCCTTGATCGAAGAACTCGTCGGCCACCATCTTGGCTACACGGTGCTGCACATCCCAAGGCTTTGCGATCGCACTTACGTCGCAGGCGGTCATCATCATTCCACAGAGCACTGAAGAGTAGAGATTTGGGGGGAGGGGTTTAATTGGTTAAGTATTTTTGGTAAAATTGGTTATTTAATTTACTCGATAGACTACGATCGACCTAAGTGTGGAAGTTAGGGTATGAAGTATTCAAATGTCTTTAAATTGAATCGATGGGATCGAAGGATTCGTTTGTGTATTCGTCAAGGTAATTCCATTATCCATGTAATTAATATTCTCTGACACTTACGTTCTTTCTTCTCCTCGCTCTGCCAGTCGAACTCCCCGTCGTCTATCAGCTCCATGAATCGATTCTTCTTTTTGAAGTACACAGCCAGATCCGTGGACAGGATCGCACTCTCCACCACCTTCATCACCTTCCTGTAATCCTCCATCGACAGGCTCTGGAAGATATTGTTACTGTCCGAGTTCAAGATCATCACACACTGATCGAAATGATGATGCTCCATAGTGCTGGTCGAATAGAGGATCGCCAACGGAGACTCGGTCTTCGTTTGGAACGCGTTGTTTGTCCCTCGATGGTCCAGATCGTGGCACAGACAGGCGACAAGCAGTCCAAGGATCTCCAGATCAGTCATGAACTGTTCCATCTTGCCGGTTTTCAGCATCGCGAACATCGTTTGGGCGACGTTCAACGCGTGCCTCCAATTGTGATACTTGACCGGCCTGCGTATTTTTGGAAACCCATTGAGTCAGGAATACGCCGATGGTGATATGACAAATATATTTCGGGTATAACAAGCTCAACAACAGTAGATTTGCATGCAGACACAACTTAAGTATGTTTTACTACAGAATTGAGATATTGCTGATGATATTTTGGGTTTCTTGTGTGAATTAGGTCTGAACTCTTTATGAAATTGTGTGACTTATACTAGTCATGGAGTGAATCAAAGTTGAAAAGAAGATTATGAACAACAGAAGAAGTGAATTGAAGAATCAAGGTTGGTCATCCAACAGTATATTAGTTCAGGATCAGACGTTTCAGACATCGTTCGTCAGATTCAACGATTACCTGTAATTCTTCTTAACGCTGAGAATCCACCGGCAAAGAACCTCGTATGGTATATGAAATTTCTGAATCAGGTCGCACTGCTTGAACATCCTTATGGTGGCCCGACAGGTGTCCTCGTCGGTCAGCTCGAAGTCGATGAACGTGAAACTGTACAGATTGAACGTTTCCGCAGACGGTATCGGCTCGGAGGTCAGCTTAACGGCGTCGTCATTGTTTGCGGTCGCGTGATAGCTGAGACACTCGAGAGCGACCTTTTGCTTGGCCATCAGCTTGCACGCGGACTCGTACATCTGAGTGTTGTGGATACCAAGACCGCAGAAGATCGCGAACGCCTCGAAGATCGACACGTCCGAGTCGGTGAAGGATGATCCATTATCCTGCGAACGAAGAAAGTGACCAATCCGGTAAGCAGATTCTGTGTTCCCCGACATTCATCTGTTCTCGAACTGTTTACCTCGATTTTTATCGTCAATGTACAGTAATCATTAAACAGCTCGGATAATTGTCCGCGTTTTAATCGTCAGGTCTTTAAAGACCCCAATTATCTAAATAGAAAAAGGTTCACTTTTGGCAGTTTAAGGCGTAACGTGGAGGAACAGTGGCGAATTTTTCATTTCCTTCATAACGAATACGAAATTTAATGATAATGAAAATAGGGAATAAATCGTCAGATCACCTTGTTGATCAGCTGGGCAACACCGATCACGGTCCTCTGACCGTTGACGATGGGCATGCAGAGAATACTCTTGATGAGCTCGTTTCCAGATTGGATCACGTCTTTCTTCAGCCACGTGGATACATCCCCGATGTTAAGAATTTGACCAGTGAAGGCCACGTATCTAGCGATCTGGCCCAAAGGGCTCGACAGATCGCTTCCGCTCGGCCTGTAAATCTTCGCCTCCTCGCTCTTGTTGTCCATCTCGAAGATTGTTGTGAACTTGTTGCTTTCGTTTGATGCCTACGAGAATGATCAGTGGAGGAGGTCGAAATTGAAACATTGTACACTTCGAATTCTCATCGAAAGAGATTGGATTGTAGATTTATGATTTCGTATTTACTCACGTGCTGTTGGAAAATGTCCTCCATCTCGATGTTGTTGCTCTGAGCCGGCAGGAAATAGAAAAATACCGATCAGAGTTACGTATTCGAGTAACACGTGCCTGGGTGTCACTCACCTCTCTCCTCGACAGCGGTTTTCTGCTCTCTTGACTTGATTTTCCTGGTCGTTCAACGATCTTCTCGAGGTGGCCCTGAAACAAGACACTCCAGCTATCTCTGATCACCCTTATCGCTGCTCTAACCGACGATCAGATGGATCTCAATATATTTCGAAGTGTTTTTAAAAGATTTCAGGACTTGAATTTACGAATATAATTAATAGTACCCTGACTATCGGCCCCAATGATAGTAAATTGTCTATTAAAATGTAAAGTCTTCTTTCTAAATTGTTTCCACCATAAATCGAACTTACTGCCTCGCCGCAATCGAGATCCAGAAGATATACGGCGCATCTCTCGCACTTGAGCAACTCCTTCGCCTCGGTCATGATCTTCGTGACGAGGCACTCGAGATTGTTCTGCTCCTCGAAGATATTTCTTGCCAGATTCAAAAGGATCTGATTACGTCTGTACTCCTGCACCGAAAGCTCGAACAGTTGCGCGTTCTGTATGCCGATCCCGCAGAACGTTAGGTACCTGGAACAAACAGCGTTTCATCCATTAAACACAGACCAGAATGACTGTGTATCAATTAATCCACACAGTGTGAACCAACCTTTGAAACACCTCGACATCCCTGTCCGTAAATTCGTTGCTGCCGTTGGTCTTGTTAATAATCTGAGCAACGCCTATCACGTCACCCTCGTAGTTGCAGATCGGCATCGATAGAATGAGGGTAGTTTTGTAGCCTGTTCTCATGTCGATCGAGCTGTTGAATCTTGGATCCTAAATAGTGTTTCGAAAATTGTTCTTTAATCCTTTGAAAGTGGACATTTCTGGCGATCAGGACAGGCATTCGATATTTATGTCCATTTAAATCACGATTTATCTTTTTCTCCACGTGTATTTCGAATTGGAACTTAGACCAGTGCTGCCCAAAGATCCCTTGCAAACGGGACCAAGCATTGAACTTGTTGCAATTTACTTCTGTGTGTCTGTGTCGAAGGGATTCTAACCTAAGGGTGGCTCTATCCGTCGACAGCAATAATTCAGTTACCAAAATGGTGACTAATCGTTTATCTACCATGATGATGACAGGACGTTTAGCTACCCTACAAATGACAGATCGCGCCTAGAGGGTCATCAAATTCATCGCATTTTACTCTTACAAACCTTATACGCGTCCTTGATATTAATAATCTCCTTGGTCTGAGCAACGTAACCAGCGATCCCAATCCCAAAAGGTATCTTGATCTCCTCGATCTTCGCCTTCTGAATAGCGTCCTCCAGTTCCGTGTCCTGCGTTACATCGAACAGCTTCGCGACCAAATACCGATCTTCGAGAGGTCCTTTCGCCAAGAACAAGCTCCCACGATCGGCATGAGTCAGCAGACCAACGTTCACCAGAATCTTGTGGCATAGAACGTTAATGTCCAGCTCGTTCGCCACATCCCTGATCAATTCCATGAACAGATCACTATCGTCTAGCATGTTCAATTCTTCGCGTCGTCCCACCAGCGACGATGTCCTGCACGAAATACGAAAGGTTTCAGACGATTTTGTTCAAACTTCACTGGCAGAATGGTTTTTATGTTTGCAAATATACAACTTCAGGTGTTCTAAAAATATTTAGAAGTTACTATCTAACTTTTATTTGTCAGACTTTCCATATAGGAAATGCGATTTTTCTCTATTTTTTTTACTATCCAAGTTCTTATCTGAGGAAGACGTACTACTCCGTCATCCGATATCAAAATGTTAGATGGCCAGAAGTGAAAAAAATCATCGATCATGGATTCTAACCTATTGGGACTCTTGCTTCTTTTCCCTGGCGAGCTAGAAGCCAGCCACGACTGAAACAGATCGGACGTGACGCTGTTGCGTTTACTTCTGGTCAGTAGGCTCTCCTCCTGATGGGAAACTCTGGCTGGTGACTTGGTCTGGGGAACGCTGGTCACATCTTGTAGCCTCTGGCGAAGCTCGAAGCTCGCGTTCTCGCGTAACCAAGCCTCCGCCGCGTCTGGATGCGCCTCGAGGTACCTTTTACCCAAAAATACTCCCAGCTGTATTATCGACATGATCGATGTAAAGTGTCGTGTTCGCCCCTATTGTTCAATTTGTACGGTATCGACAGTGAATTCATGACAGATTTGACAGTCGATATCGTGTTACGATCTACTCGACGAAACATTAATAAAAATCAACGGTTCTCCCTACCTGCCAACTTTCTCCATAGTCAGTCCGTCTTCTTCATCGTACTCGTGTATCGTTTCCTGGCAGGTGATCCTCTTGCTCCTGCATAGCCTGGCTATGTCGCCTTCCTTGATCTCAGTCTTGCTGCTCGGGCTTAAAGGTAATTTTGATTTCTCTTGCGTGCACGCCCTCATTCTGCCTGGTTCCTTCTCCGATGCTTCTGGTTCCTCGAGGCTCGGCGAGCACACCAGCTGGCACTCGCTTCTCTCGGCCGTCTTCGAGGACATCGGTTTCGTCGAGATTTTCATCGTAACGAACTTCTCTAGCTTGTCATTGCAATTCACCTGCCAGGCAATTTACACTTGGCTTTATTTTCATAATTCTACACCAACGTCATTGGATCGTGTTGAAGGTAAAAATTATAATTAATTATTTCAGACGTTTTTTGTATTTATATTTAACCCTTTGCACTCGAAATTCTATTTTGTCCCTTCAGAGGGGATGATCGAGTGTAGAGGGTTAATTTGCTGGTGAAAAAGTGTTGGATCGTTTTCTAAATAATTTCCTTCGTCAGGTGTCTCGAACATTATTGCTGGAAATATTACTCGAGGTTCACGTTTCTTTTTCCTTGGGAAATTCGTACCTCTGTGTCCCTTGGCTCCGGCAGCTCGTCGTCCACTTCGTCCTCAGACTCCATATCATCTTAGGTCTGAATTAATTACCATTTGAAGCAATGGTACGAGGGGAACGGCTTTAACTCGTGAAAGTTTAGATCGGGGTGAGGACACTTCGCATTGTACTCGGGCTGCTTTGTTTAAAACTTTACATACTTCCTGAACGGGCGCACGAGTCTTGAAAGCCCCCCTGAAACAAGTATCTTATTCATTTCGACGGAACTTCCTGGTAGCACGGTAATAGAATTACATCAAAATAATTCGAGAGCTATTTACGGAACTATTCCGCGAACCATACAAATACCAACAAAGCCATGGTAGATAAATTCCGTTGTAATTTATCAACCGTTACAATCAGTCGCACGAATATGTAAGTGTACACCTGTTTCTTTATTTCTGTTTTGCTCTTTTCTATAGATTTTATGCATTTAGAGCCTACACTGCGCGGCACAACTGTGGAACCACCCTGACATGTTCAATTCTTATGTGTTGTTGTTAAAATAAAAACGAACCAAGTATGGCATGTCTGAAATCATGTTGAGAAATAATGTTTTCCCAGAAAAGGATAGATGATATTCCTTAGAAGACAAAGTGGTGCGTTTTTATTTTAACCGCAATACATAAGGATCGAAAATTTTAGAGTAGTTTTATGGTTATGCCACATAGTGTAATTACTCGGTTTTATTTCTTTTTTTTTTTCACTTTTTCGAAGACACCACGCAAATTCGTATGCAACGATGAACGCAATTTCTCCGACTATCCGTTCCTCTTTTCACCCTCTCTGTTCTCTTCCACTCCGTTCACGGAACTGATGGGAACGACTCGCGTGGGAAATCCTCGTCTAATCACTGACTTATGAAATTGCGACGATTTGATATTCAACGGATCGTCCCCGGGTTTTCGACCGAAAATAACTCTGGTTTGCAGCAGCGCAAAACAAGCCAACCATCCGTTAAATTAACGTCACACATTTACCAAGACGCTACTGGCGCGCGTTACCTTTGTGTGCTCTTCCTCTCGTCGTCGGCCATTGCAGCGTGTCGTAATTTTGAAAATAAAATTAAGAAGGATCGATAATACCGATGTTTTCCGAACAAGTGTCGCGGAACTGGTTTCCGTCGAGCTGCTTTTTAATCAACCTTACAGTGACCCACACATGCTTTCACAGACTTCTGAATTAACAAGTTGTCAAAACTTTTATGTAATTTCTACTTAGATATCTCCTTATCATAACATTCATCGTTCCTTTTGTATTAAATTCTTCTTCATTTTGAAATAAAATTCGCATTTTGGTAAATAATTTGGTCAAATAGAGATACAAGCCTTCCCTGAACAAACTTGTGAGTCACTGTCTTCTTATTAATTATGTAATTCGTTTGAAAACTATTCTGAACTTTTTTTGATAGTTAATTCTTCAATGATACTATAGTTGTTTGACTGTAGCAATTAGACTGACAACTATTCCCCAACAAACTAAAATTGTTACCAACCATTCCGCAACAGCAGGCACTCGACAGGAGTACCTATCCTCGTTCTATTAAAAGTTTTAATTGGTTTAAAAATAAAGCAGCAACTTCTTCGAACTTCCATCGGGGCTGCCGCTTTATCGTGTTATTTATGAATGTATAAAATCCAGTTGCGATAATAACGAGCTCGCAAGAAAAGGGTTGGAAAAGGAGATACAGTATACGCGTACACTATAATCAAGCCGTTCGCAGGCAAAAGATGACTAACTCCAGTTATTTTATTGCCAAAGCACTTGACCGATGCTTAGAACTTTTTTATACAAATTTTCTGGAGTTAATTACTTTGATAAATGAACGACTCAGTTGCAAGCTTTGCAATTCAATACATTATCACGATACTACACTGATGATCATACCTGGTCCAATCAGACAATCTTCCCGCCAAATGCCCGTACCGGAAGTGTAGCCCCAGTAGTCACAAAAATGGCACCGTACACGCACACAATTTCACCGTGTTTATTGCTTCCACGCGAAAACTCGAAACGTCACCTTTTTCGGTTTAATCGCTCGACCGGAAACCGCACATTACCCAGGGGAACAACAAATAGATCCCGGGCGTTATTCGTGGGAGTGGATCTAATTACCATCGATCATTCCCTAGTGGTTTGCAGGCTACGCAAGCCCCGTAAGTACCCGTAAATATTTCAAACTTTGCGAAAGACGAACAGGGGAGAAGAGGACT